CCAGATGTTCTTACTGTAATAAAGCGTGTAGAAGTGCTAGTAGAGATGATCTCAGTAACACCAAGATGTGCACTCAGTCCAAAAATCTCAGGTTGCTGTTTCAACCTGTGACTAGCAGGCATTATTTAGAATGTAGAAGTTAATATCTCTGTTCCCACTATGCCATTTTTAACTGGTGCCTTTGCTGTAAAGACACATTTAAAAACACAGTACTTGAGACATAATCAAGTTACTTCAAGTTTTTAGAGCCATGGGGATGGAGGAAATTTTCTTATTCACTACAAGAAAGAGCCAAGTACAAGTTCCACTTCCTTTGTGTTTGAAATGAATGTGCATACTCAAATTTCATTGTGATGAAATGGATAAGAAATAGCAATCTCATTAAGCAGAGGTTTACAGACTCAATTTACTTAAAAAAACAAAACAACCTCCAAAATGCAGCATTTGCATAGAACCTGGTATGTGCAGACTTAGACTTAAGCTTTAATGCTGAGATGGGTATAACAGCCTGCTTTCTTCACGTCTTATGGAAAATCTGTACAGAGTGTGGATGGTGGCCAGCCAGGTAATGGAGGAGCAGCAGGAGGCTGCCCGAAGCCCATCATGCCAGTTTCCCCTAACGAGCCTGCCCTTGATCCCAGTGAGGAGGAGCTGTTTGTAGACTCTGAGTCCAAGGTGAGACTGCCTGGAGGTCTGTGCCAGGAGCAGAGCCCAGACCTTAGGCTGTTGACATTAGGGTGTCGAACATTTTAACAAACCTAAATCACAGCTTGCATCTGGATTCTCCACTGTGCCTAAAACCTTGGCATAGCTTGCCAACCAATTTCTGTTGTGATTATCTTTGATACAGTGACAGCATGCTGTTTTTATTACTCTGCTGTGCCCAAATACACCATTTTAACAGCATCAACCTGCTATAGGAATTTTTTTTCCCTTGTTACATCTTGTCAGCCATCTAGCGGCAGATGCTCCCAGTAGTTTAAGATGATGTTTGCCTCCTTTTCTTCTTTCAGGTATAAAGCTGTACAAGTTTGTATGCTCATCTCATTAAGGATTTTTGCACTGGTGATTATATCAAGTTACAAACATAATGGTTTTCTGATTTGTTTTTCTAAAGGAGCTTGTGAAGCTCTGAGCAGCACTACTTGCTGTACAAATCAGTTCAGTTTGAAGCTGGGTATTTTTGAGTGGAAATTATAATGCAGACAAACCATTATTCATGGTCTGGTCAATGTTAGGTAGGTGTAATTCCTACACAGGAATTATAGCACAGCAGGTATCTACTTGAAACACTAAACACATACCACTGTCTTTTGATTGCTGATGAGCGCTTCTAGAACTTGTGGTTGTAGGGGCACAAAAGCATGTGTTTGTTTCAGGTCAGATATTTCCCAGTCTAGACTCTTCATCCTGCTGTAGCTTAATTTTAGTCCCTCAATTGCTTCAAGATACTGCATTTCCTTGGGTGACATGGTCTAGTGTAAAGTCCTTTCTATGTGATTCTATGATTTAAGGGGCATGTGACCAATCTACCATAGTAGTGAAAAGTTTACATTTCCTGAGAAGCATCCTTTCGGGGAGGAGAGCTGTATAAATTAGCTTATATATAAGATAATATGATAAGCTACATCCTATGTAGCTTATCTTTTTCTACGTTTATTTTCTTCTTCTAGAGCTTGCATCCCCCTTTCAAGAGGAAGGTGCCCGAATGGTTTGAGACTTCAGCAGCGCCAGTTCTACCTGGCATCGAGACCAAGAAAAACAAAAAAGACACCAGAAAAGGGATTTTTAGTTGAATAGAGAAATTAAGATGGATGTTTTGCTGTTATTAAGAGTACTTTATGAGTATTTTTTCTATGAATGCTCCTTCGTGTTTTGCTTTACATTGCTACTGTTGCTCGGCGGGTGCGGAGCGAGGAATTACCCCGGAAATACGTTTCACTGTGTGAAATTTGCTGTTATTAAAGGAATAAACAATTCTCCACGTCTCTGTGTTGGGGAGGGATCGATGTGGGCAGGGCCGTGCGTTGCTGCGGTAACGGCGCACCCACTTCCGGGGCGGGAGCTGGGGCAGAGGCTGCCGGGAAGACGGCATGGCCCAATAGCGGTGTGCGGCCTGGGCCTGGTGGGGTGGTGGCGGTGGCCGAGGTGAGGGGCAGGGGGGAAAAGGGGACTGGACTGCACCGTGCTGGGGAAAAGGGGTTGGTTGGTTGGTGGGTGGGTGGGTGGGTGGGTGGGGGAGGGAAGGAGGAAGAAAGAGAGATGAACGGAATCCCAGTCGGTGGGTCTGGGAAGCTGCTGCTTTACTGACAAAAGTTTCTCCTCCCGTCGCTGGCTCTGAGGTTCGCTGTTTGCGCCCGGGGCCCTAGAGGCTGACGGTTGGTCCCGGCGTCTGGTGCCGCTCGGTGCTGGGCCAGTAGTGAGCGTCGCCGGCCGTTCTGCACACCGGTGCGGGCTTAAGGCTGGTTTAAACTAAATCACTTTCTCCACCTTCGGTCGTTCTTGGGGTTAAGGCGCTGTTCTGACCCCTGAAATCCCCAGTCGCATCAGTTTGTTAAAAGTCCACGCACAGGCAGAGAAAGTTGCAAACCATAAACAAACACCTTCACCAGCAGCTCTCAAGCGTCCAATTGACTCTAATACCGACTTCTTACCTTTTCTCTCCTGCTCCTCCTGACAGAATTATGGACCCGACCTTATTGAGAGAGCGAGAGCTGTTCAAAAAGCGTGCCCTCTCCACACCGGTCGTAGAGAAACGTCCAGCGCCATCTTCAGATTCCTCTTCCTCAAAAAAGAAGAAAGCTAAGGTAGAACAAAGTGGCTCCTCAAGCTCGAAACAAAACACAGGTGGGTGAGACTCTCAAGGTGCTGCTTGGTATTTTCCACTGTCAGCCTCTAAGCTGTGGCCTGTTTGGTTTAATTAGTCTGTCTGTGAATTGAGAGTGGCTGTTGTCATTCTTTCCCTTAAAGTATCACTTTTTGTTAAGAAATTCACTTGTGCAATGGTGAAAAAAACACTTTGGCTGCCACATATATCAAGCCAGGCCTTGTCCTGTGACATTTGCTCCTCTCTATTGGAAGAGTCTCTATTACCAGAATACTATTTCATGTGAAGCTGAGTATGTGAGTTTCTGTGCTTGCTGAGCCCACAGGACAAGCACTGACAGTGCTCTTGCTTTTTTCCTCTCCTCTTTAGAATGCACTTAATTTTGTTAACTGTAACTCATCTGTCCATCCCCAAGATGGGTTTTGCAGTTTAAATCGTGTCTGGTGAGCATGTCTTGATAGCAGTCATTCGTGTTTGACCTGGTTGTCAACACCAGGTCAACTTCTGCAGTTTTCTGGCTTCTTTGACGGGGAGTTACGTCGTTTCACTGGGATGGTGGGGCTGATCTCTTGGTCTCAAATAAGCAGTTAATAAAGCAGTAGCAAAATAGTGGAAAAAAATTAAGGTTGCATCACCTGGAGCAGCAGGGAGAGGATTGGTGTACATGCAGCAGCATGCTCTGTGTTTGCTTTAATTGTGCAAGACATGTAATTTTGGGGGCCCTTTTCAGTTTTCTGAAAATACTGACAATTCTTGGATGCACTGTAAAGCTCAAATCCAATGTCAGGAGGTACTCAAACGTGATATACTCTACTATGCAAACTCACTGTGTGCTCATGTTTTGAATACCATGTGTGGCTTTCTTCTAAAAAAGAAGAGATAGAGCTAAAAACAACAGAAAAATGTCAAGAACAGTGGGAGGAGTGGAGCATCTTCTTTCACAGGGGAAGAGTGGGGAGTTTGAGTGTGTATCTCCAGCTTCTCAGAGCACTAAATAAAGTTATCAGATGGTTTAAAAGAAACCAAGGGATTCCAGGTTTCCATTGGTCCGTTTGCCACACTCTCCAAAGAAAATAAAATTATATGTGGAATATCCTAAACTGCATGTCTTGAGTGAGAGCAGTTGGCTGGGAAGGAGGGATGGGGAGGCAGGAAGAGGGCCAGTGGTGCAAATGTGAGTTTGATCCAGAGGATTTAAGTGAGTATGTGGCCCAGTGGCAGAGGAGATAATAAGCGTGTTGTTTCTTTTCTGTGGTTTTGTGGGCTGGGTGTTTCTTGAAGGGCTTTTGCAGCTGTCAGGTGATTAGCTTGCACAAATAGGAATGTGTGGCTGGGAGGAAGTATGCCTTATCTTTTACACTGCTGGCTCCATTCCAGACAGCATCGGAAGGCTTTCAGGGTTTCTAGAATACTTTTATGCAGAATGAGTTCAGCTTCCTTTCATTTCCCCCTGGGGAATATTTACTAATGACTGCAGAAACAGCAAAGGTAGACTGAAATCATGGAGAGCAAAACAGACACAAACTTTCTTCCTCCTGCTCTAGGAATTGGCTAAGAGCAAGCGTTCGCTCTGGCAAGTGACTGAACTTGTTGAGCAGCACAAGTTACTGAGGCTGCACCCTACCTGGGCCATGATTTTTTATTTTTTTTCCCTAAAATGCTGCAGAGACAAATTTCTTTCTCTCAAAAAACAGTCTTTATTTGTTGAGTGTGTCAGGATATGCATTTGTCAGAGATGGGTCCTGAGGAGGTGTAGTAAAATCCTGATGTTGCAGAACCCCTGTCCCACTTCTCCTCACCCCCAGAGAAATTAAAATTGAGATGATCAGTCCTAATTTTGTTGCAGAATGACCATAAAGATGATAAACAATGTCACAGTGATTACATATTGGCATTGCTAGTCCCTGGGTGCTAGTGCCTGCAGGTTCTCTCTTCTGTGAATTTATGACTTGGAGAGCCTGCCCCTGTCACTTTTTGGGACAGGAGAGGAATTGAGATCACACTATTCTTCAAATGACTGCATGGCTAAATCTGGACTGTGTGTGAAGATTTCGTGTAAGCTGTCTAGTGAGAATAGTTGAATATAGTTATTATTCAAGCAAGTTATTTGAAAAAATATAAAACTGCCTTGCTTTCTCAGTTCAGAACAGAAACTGGAAAATATATGAAATAGATCATATCTGTTATTTTATTAATGAATAGTAATTTGTGGCTAAGGTCTTAGTCTTTTTCTGAAGATCTTTCCTTTGATGGTCTTAGCCACGGTAACAAAGAGGCAAAATCTCCAGGAGTTGTTTCATGACTTACTCTACATGTGGGCAGGAATCATCTTGAGGCTCTAGGGTTCTGTGTCCTTTTTAACTTGTGCATACATCCAGCCCCCTTTATAGATCCATGAAATAACTAGCTGGAATGAGTCCCAAGATTTTTCATTGCATGTGCTTCTCAGGAAGGTGGAGGACCACAAAGCCAGCATAGAGGGGCTTTCTGGGTTGTTTCCTGCACACTACGTTCTTGTGTGCAGTGATGATGAGTGTTTTGCAGAAACGCTGCAGGTGGCCAGCAGTCCTCTTGCCATTTGGAGCTTTTGCTTGGAGGAAGAAGAGGCATGGTAATTTACCTAGTGCATCCCAATGGCTACGTTTGCCTCTTGGGCAGGACACAGGTTTTTCAGGGCTGATGCTGTCAAATACAGCAGAAGGCAGTGAGTGTACCTGACAATTAAAGATGTTCTCACTACTAATGTTATCTTCATCAGTTGTCTTGGTGTGAATCCCAACTTGTCTTGAACCTGAGCCATCAGCTTCTTCTGTTAATTGTGCTTATATAGTTTGATTTTTAGCTGAAAGCATTCTCTGCACATGGTACTGACAGAGGTTTGCTATAGCAAGCGTATCTGAGATGAACAGTTGCAGTGGTAGTTGTATCATTTTGTGACTGCAGAAGGGAGATTGCTTCTCCAGATGAATCACTGGACTGGCCCTGCTGCTTATTAGTGGCCTGAGTATCTTGTGACTCCATCTCACCAACCAGGAAGAGCACAACTCGGATTAGCAAGTCTTTTTGTTCTGTGCAGGTCTTCTGGCGTTTCATGCTGAGCCTGGTGGAGGGAGTTTATATATATTTCAATTTTTTAAAAAAGCTAATAGGTACTGACCATAGCACAAAGGTATTTCTGACATGGACAGACTGTGAAATCACTGTTGTAGCTTACTTATCTGTTTGGCCGTTAGGTGGGTTTTGTTTCCCTGATGACAGGAATATTATTTGAGTTTAAATATCTTGTCCCATGCATAGCTTTGGTCTGGGACATTTCTCACTGGTTTCTGCTTCTCTATGGGTTCAGTAGTGTGAAAGACTTACCAGGCCTTACGGGTGGCCATGCTCTTGGATGCTGTTGTTGTGGTCATAATTTGTAACTGCAGAACTTTCATGGTTTAAAAACTATAGATGCATCTACAGAAGAAAAATAATCTAGTGAGCTGGAGTTGTGAGTGTTAAGTGCTCAGTTTGTGAGAAAGGTGTGAGTGCGAATGTTCTGGGCAGGCTGGTGAAGCAAGCTAAGATTCTCTTGAGCAAAATGAAGTCTGTTCTTGCTATGCATCCATCCTGCCATCTCTAAAGCAAGGCTTATCCTGGTGTGGCCTCCTTTGCAAAGCATGTTGATACCTAAAAGCTGTGTGGAGGTGAAATTACTGTTATTGGTATGGCAGGTCTGTGACATGTCTGCTTGTGTTCCTTGGTCAGTTCCAGTTCAGCTTTGAAAAGTTAAGCTAGGGATGGTAAGTCCAGCATGTCTGACTCACTTCAGTGTTGTACCATAGAGTACCATAGAGGCAGCAGCCTCGGGGCAGAAAAATGTCCCTGTTTCTTCTAGACCAACAGTGGTATGCTTTTGTGGAAATAGCTAGAAGTTCTTAAGGTAGTGTGTTAATTATGTATTGATACCCAGAAGTTGTTAAACAGGTTGAACAGGAAGTAAGGGGAGAGCAGTTCTGTGAAACTGGAGGAAGAGAGGGAGAAGGCATCAAGTTGTACCACAGGGCTTTAGAAGAGACCATTTTAGGGGATATGTATCAAGTTGGCTTACTTTTCCTCCCACCACCCTCTCTTCTAGAAGCAAGAAACCCATAATAAGAGCTGTCAAAGGCAAGGATTCACACAAGCCTCTCCTTTTCCATCTTTGTGTGGTTGACCTCAGTGGAAGGACACTGTTGTGTCTGCACTACCTGTGGTCAGATTGCTGAGCGTGTTTGTAAATATTTTCTCCAGTTAAGCAACATATTTTTATACATGTTAGGCAACATTTGTTCATTTGGGTAGACAAAGATCTAGACTAGTAACTCCATATAAACAACAAAAGTTCATTTGGAAACAAAAATCTTTCCTTCCCCCATAACATTGCAAAAGATCATCCTCCTGCTAAGGACTTGAAAAGCCTTTGCCTATTCAAGTTCGTCTCCAGACATAAAATTGTAGCTGTTGCTGTTCAGTCCAAAAGGGAGAAAAAAAAAAAGAAAAAAAGCATGTGACTTGCTCAGTCATGTCAGTCATGAGGCTTCATTCAAGTGAATTCATGAGGCGTTCTTCAAGTGCTGATGCTCAGTCCTTCCTACACCACCTCTGTTTCATGCTTTCTGAACCTGTTCAACATTGCTCTAACAGGATTGGGTTCGTTCTCCAAGTCTTTCACAGTTTTATTTTTCACGCAGCAGCAACAGTCTAGCAGTTCATAGAGGAAAGCCAACACCACCAGAGATACTACAGTAAAGATGAATATGATCAGAATAATAAAGCAGGCAGTGTTCCAGTTATCATGGAAAGGGTAGATCTTTTGCACTTGGAAGTCCAGATACTGGGAAATGGATGTAGTCTCGTTCCAGTGAGTGGTGTTGAGGGTTGCCATTCTTGAAGAGTTGCCTGAGCGTGCTCACTATCACCAATTTAGGGGCTGCAACAGAAAAAACAAAGCTGTTGAGGACTCTACTGGTCAACAACGTGCTGTGATTTTTATCTTAAACTGTAGAAACTTATGCTCAGACTAAGTACTCGCACTTCCTACCGATGTGGTTCGTTGCATGCTCATCTTTGTTAACAAAAACATCACACTTCAAGTGTACAACTTTGTGATTAGTCTGGAACATATATTTCAGTGGCGTCTGATCCATGCATGCGTCAAGTAATCTAAATTACTCTGGAATGAGAGAGCTTTGCTTTTTTATTTCAGGTACATGCAAAGACTAAAAAGGTTACATGATTATTTTCAAGGTACCCTGTGGTTTTAATGGCCTGTCCATTGTTAGGCTTGAAGTTGGTACTTGCATGTCATCCTTAGAGGATTAGGAGATCTCTGTGCCACTCTCCCACACCTGAGCAATGTGAAGAACTTAATAGATGCTAATGTCATTGGAGCTTGCTTATTTGGGGAGGGGTTTCTTCTGTTTGGGAGAAAGAAATAAATTGCTCTTTAAAAAAAAAAAAAGCAACACATTAACTATTTTGGAAGATGTTTCCAAAGAATAGAACTAACTTTTGGTAGGTCTAGTACCAGATTAACAATCCTGGTTCCTTAAAACTCATTCTCTTAAATTGCCTCTTAGCACAGATTTGTTAACCCTGTGAAACTCTTGATTTCAGAAGGCCAGATTTCCTGACACATTCATTCCCTTTCTCTGTTGAGTAGTTTGTGCTTGAGAAATCCAGCTGCCCAAATGGCACTGAGCACGTGTAGAAATCTTGGCCTGTTCGTGGTGCTGTGGTCAGCATATACATACACATACACAACAAGGAAGACCCAGCCCTTTCTAGGGAGTTCTGATTTATTTTCAATGGCATTCTCTGCTTGACTGGTAGGAAAAGAATGTCGTATTTGCGTCAGTACTGTCCATTTGTACCCAGCAGAAGAAAAGACTGCTTTTGTGGAATGGGGGAGACATGAAACAAGTTGGCTCTAGCAAATCTGCCTTTGGCACAAATGGATGGCTGTGGAGATGTGCTGTTTGGGGAAGGCCTTTGCTGAAAAGTGTGAAAGTAGGCTGTGCCTCAGTAACGTCTCTAGTACAAAACTAGAGCAAAAAAGCAGTTTTGTCTGTCTCTGAATTTCTCTGTGAATTATGGATAATTCACAGGCAGATGAGGTGTTTGGCAGTAACATCTTTACAGTTACGCATCTCGTTTTCCCTTGCTTTCCTTCTTTCCCTGTCTTTGCCTCCCAAAACTGAGCAAAATTATGGTATTTCTCATATATAGTCTAATAACAGCTGTCCAAGGAACCATAGAATTGTCATAGAACGGTTTGGGTTGGAAGGGACCTTAAAGCTCATCCAGTTCCTACCCCTGCTGTGGGCAGGGACACCTTCCACTAGAGCAGGTTGCTCCAAGCCCTGACCACCCTGGCCTCAAACACTGCCAGGAATGGGGCAGCCACAGCTTCTCTGGGCAACGTGTGCCAGGGCCTCACCACCCTCACAGGGCCTCACCACCCTTCCTAAGATCTCATCTCAGTCTCCCCTTTGTCAGGTTAAACCCACCCCCCTTGTCCAAAGCCACTCTCCACGTTTCTTGCAGGCACCCTTCAGATACTTGGAAGCTGCTTTAAGGTTTCCCTGGAGACTTCTCCAGGCTGAACAAGCCCAGCTTTCTCAGCCTGTCTTCAGAGCAGAGGTACTTCAGGCCTCGCATCATCTCCATGGCCTCCTCTGGACTTGCTCCAAGAGTACCATGTCCCTCTTGTGTTGCTGCCCCAGAGCTGGACACAAGGCTGCCGGGGTGGGGGGGGGGGGGGTGTAGCTCAGCAGAGCACAGTAGAGGGGCAGAATCCCCTCCCTTGACCTGCTGCTCACGCTCTGGGGATGCAGCCCAGCACACAGGGGTTTTCTGTGCTGAAGTCCACACTGAAGCTGGGTCATGATGAGCTTCTCATTGACCAGTACCCCTAAGTCCTTCTCCTCAGTGCTGCTCTCAATTGATTCTCTGCCAAGCTTGTATTTGTGCTTGGGATTGCCCTGACTCACATGCAGGACCTTGCACTTGACCTTATTGAACCACAACAAGGAAAGAGCCACAGTAATGTCTAGTTACCTGTCATAGTATACTGTAGGACATCGTAATAACACTTTGAAACCTTCAGGCAATTTAAAACTGAGTGTGGGAGAAGATTGAGCCAGATTTCAGTATTCCCTTGAGGAAATAGCAAGGAGTTTTTAGTGGTGAGCAGCACTGATGGGCCAGCCTGTGCCCTTCATGTAAGCCTGTCAGTGAGCACATGCCAGCTAAGGGGGAGCTTGCACAATGGACTTTTGTTTGCTGGGGTACCCCCGAAAATGTGGGATTATAGAAGGGGAAGACAGAGAAAAGGTGGTAACTGCAGAAACCTGGAGTCTTATTTCCATGCCTCAATGGAAGATTGTTTTGAACATCAAGCAAAAAGTGAAAACCTACCTGAGTTCATTACGAAATGGTCTTGGCTATACCCATATTTAGTTTGATTTCATTCAGTAATCAAAACTACAGAACAAAGGGGTACTGCTGATGTTTTGTTAATTTAACTGTGCTCACAGGTAATACTTTAACCTTGTATATCCCAGAAATAATTCTGCTATCAACCTGTTTAGAGAGTGAAAACTACAAAATGCCTGAATAACTGGGAAGGGACAAAGGCAAAGTGTGATGGTGTCCGTGAAAACAGATTATTTAAAGCAGTCTCGTTATTTTTGTCTCATTAGGAAAAAAAAAAAAGGTATTGTGAAAACCAGCATGATGCCACCAAACCAGCTTGTGATTTATGTCTTTTATTTTTTTTCTGTTTAAATGTTATACATGCCAAGGAAGTTGTGAATGCTTCATCCCTGGCAGTGTTCAAGGCCAGGCTGTACGGAGTCTTGGGTGATATGGTCTACTGTGAGGTGGCCCTGCCCATGGAGGGGGGCTGGAACTAGATGATCTTAAGGTCCTTTCCAACCCTAATCATTCTATGATTCTACATTTTGATCCTGCCTGTAATGGATTTAAATTGAAATTCCACTTTGTTGGGAAGATACATGGCACTAGCATTTGATATAGCCATTTATCAGAGCAGTTGCAATAACTTTTTCTTCTGTTAAATCTGTAGCCGAATACACAAATCTGTTACTGAGTACACGAAGTATGACTGAGATGGATGGGATTGATTAAACTGCTGTTTGTTTTTTTTTGTTCTTAAACAAAAGTTTACAGAGCAAATCCAAGCTAAAAATACTCATGAGCTGAGTCAGGCTCTGGCTTTGAGAACGTGGTTTGGTTTGGTCACGGTCTAGGAAAGCAGCTCAGCTGGCCTCTTCTATGGTGCTAAAAGTCAGAAGGGTTTTTGAAGGGATAGTCTGGAGGCTTGTTTGAAAATTGGGGGGTGAGGGGAGGAGCTGAGTAAAAGGATTTAGTCTCTTTTGAGGGGTAGTTAAAGCAAGGAGGACTGAAATGCATCTTTAAATTGCAAGAAAATATCCTCAGGAAAGAAAGGAGTTTTGTTTTGAGCTTCACCAGACTTTTTAAGACCCTCTGTGTAAACACTAGGCACAAAAATGAACTGTTTTTGCTGCTGAGAAACTGAGTACTGCAAAAAGAGGATTACGATCTGGGGCTGCTGGAGAGACTGGGCATGTTCCCTTTGCCCACCACAGCTCCTCCACCAAGGAGGTAGCTCTGTTCCTGAGAGGAGAGGAGAATCTTCAGTATGGCATGGCTCCCTGTTGCTCAGCTGCCAGCCCCCTCCCCAGCCACCATTAGGGCAGTGGTTTGCACAGCATAGAGCATATCATCTTTACACAAGGAGGTGGAATTTAATACCCATGCTGGAGGCGGTTTGTGCTTCTCGAGGCTGATGTTCTCCTTGATTTGAGCAAGGCAAGGCAGATAAATATCAGCTGCTCATTTCTGTAAATTATTAAAATACAAGACTGAAGTAGCTGTTGCTGAGCCTTCAAAATTAGCATGACACTAGCAAGATTAGCATCTTTGAAAGCTGTCAAAAATGGTCTGCTTTCATGCAGTTTTACTTACTTTACCGTTGCACAATTTAATTCATATTGTAAGCCAGTCTGATTTGAATACAGTTCAGCTATTGTGTGTATTCAGAATGCAGCGAGTTAAATATTTAATGGATTGGTTTCTGTAATAGCTACATCAGGCTTTAATTTTAAAGGTATCGTCGTCTCTAGGCACTGCAGAGCAGCAGCTTTATTTGAAATCATATTTGTGGAGCAGAGGGAAATGACTGGCAAAAAATCATTTCAATGCAGTACTGAGGAAGTCTTGTTTAACAAATCACTGAAGAGACATCTTGGGGTAATACCATTTAACAAATCTCAGATGGAGTCTCACCTGCCTGTTTGTCTTGTATCGATCACTGCTTCAGTATTTACAAGGATAATAATATTCAATGGGAATTTTTTACCCGAATGCACCACATTTCTATAATAGGTTTCTAGCGTATCCATGAACATAGAGGGGGGTTAGGAGCTTAATTTGTATGGTTTATGGAATACCCACTTAGGAGATACACTTCTTAAATGTCGGGTTGAGCTGTCTTTGTTTTAAGGAAAATCCTCACGCTGTCATTTCAGTACAAACATACAGAATCAATTACAGGGAATGTGAGACTGCAGGCAGCAAGCTACCTCCCCAGTAAGCACGAAACCCATTTTGTCTGCTGAATCGTGGTTTGGTGTATGAGCTTTTCTGTGAGTGGTCATCAGTTTTCCATTAGTGCACAGATGGTGAAAGTGCTTGTCTGATAGTGCAAGGCAAGCTCCTCTGCCTTCAGTGGAATAAAATCCTGCTAAACCTAGAGAAAAACATTCTGCTTCTAAAAAGCTTTTTACAGGCTTGTAGTTTACAGGCATATTTTCTTTCAGTAATCAAGGTAAACCTAAGACAATGTTATAAAATGATCCACACCTACCTCTTGTCTGAGAGGATGCTGGAAGAGCGCTGTTCTGGTCCCTTTTTTTAGTGCAGCCTATGGCACAGCTAAGATGGAGCTCTCCTACCATTGGCCAGAGCAAGATGCTGCTGACAACTTCCTTTCTGCTGGTTTACATCCAGCCCTCAACCCCAGGAGTAAATCATTCATAAATTTGACTCTTACTGGCTCGAATAGAAACAAACCCCTTCCTGCTCTCATTCTGGGGGATGCTCTTTGTGTGGGATGAGCTTTGTAAGGGCGCTGGGAGGTGATGGTGGCCATGCCCGGCTGTGCTTTTTGAGCAGCCATTAAACCCTGACGTTTTAAGTGTTAATATCCGCAGATTCCCAGCTTGGCCCTGGGGTTAGATTTACTTGTCAGGAGCCTTAGCCGGCTGTAGCCAGGCAGATTAAACAAGGTAATCTTCTGGATTCAATTGACAGAACAAATGCATGATAAGTCATCTTAACTCTTTGTTGTGCCTCTGAATGTGTTTCAGCACTTTAGACCTCTCATTATATATACGTTTTCTTACTTACAAAATGTCCTGTGTGGATGTTAATTTTTAACGATAAAAGGGAAGAATCCTGCAGGGGAAGATCCTTATAGGCTGTATTTTCAGCGGGAGCCAGCTTTGGTTTTCTCCCTTTTTCCATCTTAATTTAGTAATCACAATAAAACGTTCTGTTGTGGAGTTACACTGATTCTCCTATATTAATTTTAGAATTGTGCTATGTAAAGCCTCCAATATGATGTCATATAAAAGCTTCACAATTACTACTTGTTGAGTTTTTAATCTGAAGTTTATTCCTTCCACATTTTTACTTCAGTGTTTCTGAAGTGTTTTTTATTAAAATAGCACCAGTTTCCATGAAGTCTTCCCAATAATTATCCAAAATGGATTTGTTTGCAATGTGATTACATCCAACATTCCCACTCTGTAGTTGCCTTTTGCAGTGACTTTCAGATCAGCTTGAAAGGAGGCTGAGATGCAGTGGGACAGACATGAAAAAAATTCACCCAAAGCATACTGACTTTGGGAAATTAATTGGGAGTTTCTTGGAAATTGGGAGTTTCGTGTAAAGAACTTGTCAAGAAAATCCAAGTTTAAGCACAGAGAAGGTAGCAGATTTTCTCCAAACCTGCCTCTTACTCGGTGGAGGCGATGGGTCTGTCAAACATTTTAGGTGCATTTTCTAAAATATAATGATTTTTTATTTTCTTGTTTCTTTTCTTGACCAATGCAAACCTCTGAGACCTTATACTGCTTCTTGTCACCATTCTCATCCACATTCGGCAGAGACAAGACTCAGCTCTGCTCAGCACCTGCTGCAACCTCTCCCTCCATTACTGCCCTAACTTTAATTGTTCTTTTCTCTCCCTCAACTGATTCTTCCACAGAAATAACCAGAGCTTGCTATCTCTGATAACACCTACTGTCCTGTCAAGTGTGATTAGAAGTCACCAGTGGATTAAAAAATTTGTGTGGTGACATAGAGAAAATGTTCTTTTTCTCGAGTAGCTGAAATTCTGAGAAGCTGATACCGTTATGCTGGTAATGGGCCTGTGGCTTTTGATAGCAGTTTATGGATATTTCTGTTTAATGTGCTGTGCTAATAGCTAATGCTAATACAACAGTCATTAACAACCCTGCAGGAATTTTTGAAACAAACTTTACATGGTAGCAGACCTCACAGTACATTAAGCCAGAGTCAGAGGGGATTCTGAATTGTTATCCCAGTGGTGCAGCGCACCAACTTGTATAATTTTATATTTATTTTTTCATATAAATTTGCTACTAGAGCTGCATAAATAAATTAATGCGTAAGCCCAGCACAAGCACATCCAGCTGCTGAATACTTTTATGGAACAAGTGCAACCCTCTGCTCCTGTCCCAACAGCACAAAGCTATCAGTAGAGATAATGGCTGGGCAAAAATGCAGCACATTATTTCAGTGTGACTTAATGTAGCATAAATGATTATGGTTTGTTAAGCCACAGAATTAAACATGTACACTTACAGGAGTAATGCTGCAATGTCTTGCTGTTTTCTTGAAGGTCGTGTCCCAGTAACTTTATATTTATTCAGCTCTGCTGAGAAGTGTTCCAGAGTCATGTGTGTCGACAGGTACCTCTGTGGGTCTGGATCAGGACATGTGCTAGCACAGTCTTCTGAGGGTGGCTGCTCCTGCAACACACATTTGTTTTCCTAATTGTAATTCTGAAAGCTTGTGGAAGACTGAGAAAGAGATGGAAGGCAGAGCCAACAGGGTGTTGCAGGAAATACAATTTAATGATTTGTTTTCTCCTTTTGTAGATCACAGCAATGGATCATTCAACTTCAAGTCCTTTTCAGGAGGCTCTGGCTACAAGTTTGGAGTTCTTGCTAAAATAGTGAATTACATGAAGGTACAGACTTTTGCTGTAAAATTATAATGGTTTTAAATACTTCTTTATTTTTCTGTGGTAGCTGAAAGATGCTGTATATTTCAGCTCTAAAATCCTTTTATATCAAGAGTGAGAATATCAAGAAGCTGCTTGTTAAATTCAAAGTGCTGTCAGTAAACAGAATGGTCAGCATATTGTTCCATTACTGAAATCCTCATTATTCTGGGTCACTTAAAAACCAAGACAGGGAATGTTATTTGCAGCAGAAATAGGAACTGCAGCATGCTGTCAGCTTCTAGGATTAATGAGCTATTTATCAAAACAACGTGTAACTTGGTGCTTGACAGGTGACTTTGTCATCACTCTCAGCTGGTACTAATTTTTTTTATCTCATATTCTCAAAACCCCTAAACTGAGACTCAAATGCTGTGTGTACTGTATCTAGTCTGGTTTTGCAACGGTTGTTTTGTCATCACAGCATACCAGTTTTAGTTACTTTATACTGAGTCACTGAATAAAATAATTACAGAGCTCTAATAGATCCTGTTTACTTTTCCAGACGCGGCACCAGCGTGGTGACACACATCCATTAACCTTAGAAGAGATTTTGGATGAAACACAGCATTTAGATATTGGACTCAAACAGAAGCAATGGTTAATGAGTGAGGTAATGAAAACATGCATTTAGATTTTAATTAGAGATGAAGCACTATGAAAATAATGGATTATACACATTTATTTAGTGACAAGCTCTATACATAGTCTCCCCTTTAGGAAGCTACATTGATTCACATGTCTGTTATGTACCCTCTACTGTTGAAGTAACAGTGAAATGACTATTCTGACATTTTTAAGGACATGTTACAATTGTTACACAGCATATTTTACCTTACGTGAATTTTTTATTACTGATTTTACATAAAGAAGCTGGTTTTCTTAAGGACTTCCTTTATTAATGCAGAGAGCTCTTCTGATATCGAGGATTTTAAATTAACTAGAACAAAGGAGTATGGCAGCAAATTCATAGGCTTACAGTACATTCTTTGCCATCTACTGAAATGAAGAACTCTGATGTGAAATATGTCTGAAGTTGTGGGATAATAGATGTGCAAATTTCACTGCTGGAGTTCATTAGTCTCACTCCAGATGCTAGGTTTTGTTCCTACAGATTGACTATAATTTGCCACCATGTCGATCTTCGTGTTTCATTGATCTGAATATCTTAATGAAATTTCAAGATTAATAAATCACCAGAATAGCATATTTAGTATTTATACTTGATTCACATACCTAGTTTTGCTCATATCCTCATATATTTAATATCCTTGCAATAGAGCAGTAAAGTTTGTTGAGACACGAGGAAGAAGTCTCTGCATAATAAAACTAAGGTGGTTTTAACTAATACAGCCTGTAGCATTCCTTTGCTACCAGGACTAAAATTCTGGGTTACAGAAACCCCAGTGTTGGTTATGATGGAAGCTTGACTTTGCTGAAGTGTTTCAAAAGGTAGTTCCAGGTTCCTTCCATAATGAATATCAAGATGGAATGAAAAAGCTCCTCCTAACAAGTGTATATGAAATCATCCCTGAACTGTTACTGGATAAGAAAAGGTGAAAAAATACCCTGCAGTGCCAAAGTTAGTTATCTTCTCTGTTACAGGTGTTTTCTCCCTCCTTTCTTCTTTCTGTGTCTCTTCTCTTTCTCCTTTCAGGGTCAGGCTGGCATCTGCAGAAGAAACTGAGTTGCCCTCTATGAACTTGCATTGTGGTACTGGCCGCACAGCAAAACTGATTCAGCACATACCTGAAATGGTTTCAGTTGTCCATAAACAGCTAGTCAGTTTCACTCTGAACCTGGCATCAGAAAATCCTACTGTGCAGGAGGTCTGCTCTTCTCAGTTTCTTCTACAGCTGCTGGTGCCAGTTGACAGCAGTTGGGGAAGACTGAGTCCTGGTTTGTTTGTCCCAGGTTAATGACTTTCACATTGGTAACACCTGTATGACTTGAGCTTGATGAATAACCTCCAAGCTGGCAGCTGTAACATGTGGCTCGTGTGCTTTAGCTCCTCAAAAACAGGCAATTAATAAGTAGTACCATGCATTCTTTTTCGGGGTTTTAAATTTATGTCCCTATTACAGGCTCTAGTCAACAATCCAAAAATAGAAGTTGTAGATGGCAAGTATGCTTTCAAACCCAAGTACAACTTGAAGGATAAAAAGGCTCTGCTCAGGCTCTTGGACAAGCATGACCAGCGAGGGCTGGGAGGAATCCTTTTGGAAGATATCGAGGAAGGGCTACCCAATGCACAGAAAGCCATAAAGGTGAGTAGCTTGTGTCTGTGATGTAACGAACCGATTTCAGTTACCTCCTCAAAGGGGAGGTAGAGGCTAAGAGGAAATTTCCTCATGAGTTGTTTCTGTTCATTTCACAACTCAAAAGCTATTTCAGAAGATATAATATTGTAGCTTTTTCTGTATTTCATCCTTTACATTCAGATGTGGCCTGACCCCAGCACAGCTGTCAAAGGTCTTTCTCACAAAAGACTTCTTCATCTCCCACGTTCCAACTGCAGACATTTAGTTTTGCTTTTATACCTTAATCTCAGTCCTCTGTATCTCATCTTTGACTTATTAATATACATACCACCCATATCTGCTTTGGATGCTTTTTAATGCCAGTTACTTTGCTGCTTCTCTAGTTTGTTGTGCTTTTTGTAGCGCAACATCTGGGTCCATTGTTCAAGTTGGAATCCTTGGAAACAAAGTGATTTTTGTGCTGTTCTTTTGCATTTGTTTTCAAGGCTTTAGGGGACCAGATAATTTTTGTTAATCGCCCTGATAAGAAGAAAATTCTTTTCTACAATGACAAGAGCTGTCAGTTCAGTGTGGATGAAGGTGGGTGTTTGTTTACATTAATTTCCATGATAGTTGATTTGAATTAATCTCAAATACCTATGCATATAAGCAGTCTTCAGGTATTGCAGTTGTTTAGAGGTGGTAATGAGTAAGTATCCATCTGTCAGGAGGATAGTTTATGTTAACACAAGGCTAGCCAGACTAGCGAGTGACTTCAGGGGTAATATCCTCTGGTTTGTAGTGAATATATTGGAACATGGCACCAGGACTCCAACGACTATCTTCAAGTGCAGAAGAGACAGAAAAATCACTTTATATACACATCTTTCACTGTGTAAAAGGCAGCCAAAAACCCAAAAGAATGTCTTTGGGGTGCAAGTTTGTTTTGTTTTCCTTCCAATTTATTAATTGCGGGCCTTTTATTGGTGAATGCAACAAGAAGCTACACTTAAAGCAGAAGGAATGTGAGCAGAAGCCTGAGAAGTGGTAATTAACAGCTTGTAGGAGAGCACAGATGTGGGGTAGTGCTGCTGCCTAGAGCTGGAGTGGATTTGGGACTTCAGAAGTCCAGTACGTGTTTTCTGTCTCATAGTGGCAACATCCTCTGGTGCAATGTGCGCATTTGTGCACAGAAATTAATTACCCAAATTGGGGTATGTTTCAATAATGACATTTATGCCAACATCAGATGCCTGTAAAAACAGAAAGGAGAAGGCAGTCTGTGTTGGAAGATCTTATTTTGAATGACTAAATGGCACTGAACGCTTTCTGTTGTTAACAGTGTTCTTGTACCATGCCACATAAAGACATCTTATCA